AAGTAGTACCAGTGCTGCTCCCGAAACCTCAACTTACCGAAAGAGCTGCACTTCAGGCTGGCATTCCACAGGTATCAGCTTTCCAGCATCGCTGATGTCCTGCAGCTGAAATGTGAAAGGCAAGGCCAAACAGCCCTGACTGGATTCTCTGGAGTCATATTTCTTCTGCATTGTAAAGCACTAAAATGTCACCAAGAATTCCTTATCTGCCTTCCTGCGTGGTTAAAGCTCATGCAAGCCCCTCTAAAATTAAACAGTGTACTTTCCCCAGTATCAGGCCTGTGAAACAAAAATCTACTTACGAGTTTTCGGGTTTGTCATCAGTTGCTGGTGAGAAATGGCAGACTACCTTTCAATAGAGGCTAAATATTCTAGACTGCCACAGTGCTCCTAAGTCAGATTGGTTTCTGCCTTCTTAGGCGCAGATGATGTTTGTGCAGTGTGCCTCATACAGAAATTAAGATAAAGAAAGCAAACACTGTTCTTCATGAAGGCGCTGGACTTTGGAAGGAGGCACTGAAAGAGCCTGTTTTGTTGACAGCAAATACGAAACCACATTCAGAGGCTGTATTGGAAAAAGCCTGCTGGTAGCCACAGTTAATAATTTACATGCATGTGCCTACAGGAGTCTTTAAGTGACCGTTGCAGCCTAAAAGCCCCAAACAGCAGAAACTGGGGGGGGAAGGGAGGGGAGCAGAAGGATGAAATCAGTAACTTGAACTTTTACTGTCAGCTATAGACAGGCTCAGCAATAAGTAAGAAATAAAATGTTGCATTCGGGCAGAATCAAGGGATGAGGAGTGGAATTTTAGCCTTACTTCCAGGTACGTGACAGTATATTTGATTTACACTGTGCTGGTTGTCTGTTTCCTTCATGAATGTTTGAAAAGTTCATCTGTTAGTCAGTCCCCTAAATGTTTTCCTTTTTCTGAAGCTATTTTTGTAAAAGTGGCCTTAGAATGCTTGGTTGAGGGTTCTAAAATGCTGTGAAGAGGAGTAATACTACTACCATATCTAATGTATCCCTACTTTTTTTTTTTTTTTTTTCAGTAGAACAGCGGAGAACATTGATGGACAGCAGAAGAGCCTATATCTGGAAACTAACGATGCTCACAAAATTACTCATTGTAATACTGATCAGTTGGCATAGTTACCATGACACGATTTTTAAAACAATTCATCAAATTGGAGAGGGCAGCAACATGATAGGGCTTGTTTTAAACATCTATTGCTTCCTTATCTAAACTTGTCTTTCCTTAACCTGAAGTCCAAAAAATTGTTTGTAACTAATAATCATTAAAAAAAGCCTGTATTTGTTCCTGGCTCTGTTAACTCTACCCCAGTGAAATGGCCTCCACTGGCTGTCTCCTTTGGCAGAAGTCGGGGATCTTGCCTTTGTTCTACGAACGCCAACAGTACAATTTACACAGAAGACAATTTGGGACAGAGAGCGAGGTAACCAAACAACTTCTTCCTATCCTTAAACAGTTAAAAAAAAAAAATCTCAATAGCAAAATGGACTGGAGCATGTTTGATTGGTTACAATTATAAAGAGTGGTGAGCAGTAAATATAAAATACCATCCCCTAAGGGGCCACAAGTGGATGTGGCTTGCCCCTAGCCTTTCCCTGCCCTGCCAGTTAATCTCTTCCCGATAGCCTCTGCTCCTGCCCCTCCCATGCTTCCTTTTCTATTTTGAATGCTCTTCCAGGTATTTTGGCAAGGCTTCACCTTCCTTCCCAGGACTCCCACACATTCCAGAGCTGGTTAACACAATCACGGAGTTCAACCATTAACAAGAAGCTAAAAATAATGCAACACAAACATCTCTGCAAATCCCCCTTCCCTCATTCATCTGCCACCTCCTCAGGACAGGTCTTTATCCCACTTATTGAAGCCGCTAAAAGACTTTGGGAATTTTAAGATAGCAAGACCAGATGATTTTATTACATGCAACAGTAAGAAGTAACATTTCTTAACAAATATGACAAGTGGAAAGGAAAATGAACCAACAAAACTAGACAAGCATTTAGGTACGTAACTCCCCTCAGACAAATGTAGCATTTCGTGGCAGACTGCAGGCAGCTGCTCTAAGCTTGGCTATGTGAACCTGTCAAGAGTTCTAAAGAACTCACTGGCCCATGGGGAAAAAAAAAAAATTTTAACAAGGTTAGGCACACTAGAACAGTGACTGTAGGCCAGAAGCAGAAAAATACCATCATCAAAAAAAGCTATTAGCTATTGGTGAAAACTGATGCACCTAAAAAAACCCAACACCCCCCTTTTCTCTGCTGAGTCTGAGCATCTCACACAGGTACCAATGCTTGTCTTTCAGGACTGCTTTCCTCCACTGGAGACGGAGCAACTGTCCCGTGGGAGAGATGCTGCCCCTACCACAATGGTTCTTACAGACACCAGCTGTCCGCAGCCTGTATCACAGGATTTCCCTTCAGCTGCTCGAGAGGTGAAGCAAGAAACTAGTGATGCGACGTCAGGTGCGTAACCTCGGAACAGTCTGCTTATTCAAGAAAGTTACAGAGTGAAAAATAGCAGGGAAGAGTTACTTGTCTTGGACTTTTCTTGGGGCAGCATGTGAAGTCTGACATTAGGAACTCCTCTTGTGCCTCCACTGTGCAAGCACAATGGCCGACAGAGTCCTTGCCCTTATTTACAATTCAATGCAAGTATTAGAGCAAAAGATGAGTCACGTCCTATGATTCACTTTGTACACCCAGATAAAACTCATCCTGACCTCCTGACGGTATTTATCTTCCAGCAGCTAGATTAAATCCGTTTCGTTACTCGGGTACCTAAAACCAGGAAATGGCTCACATAAATATCAGTAGTACTACGGATGAAGGGCAAGGCATATCAAATGTGGAAGCTCTTAAAAAAATCCACCCTGACTGGCCCTGTTTTAAAAAGAATCTTTCAAGTAAGTGTTTTAAAGAACAGAAATAATTCAGAGCAGTGTGCACATCTGCATCCTCAGCTTTACCACCACAGGCTGAAATCACACCTTTACATAACAGATTAAGAATTCTACATGCAACTGTAGTTTGGTTTAAACATTTGCATGAGAATGACAAATGAACCTTCAAATATGAATCAGAGGCATATTAGCCAGTAAGTTGCATGCAAATTACTTAAAATAATTTCTGGAAAAGTCAATCAGAAAAATAATTGCACAAGCTGTATATGACCAGGCAGAAGGAGGGTCTGGAGGAAGTGGCCTTGACTCAAATATCAGGTCATTAACATCTACACAAATTGTTTAAATAGCTGTTTCAACTACTAGGGGATTGGGTGAAATAACGTAATTTTCCATATGCTGTAAATTATTTTCAGTGTTCCAAATTCACTACAGTGAATAGATGTTCTATTTTTAGCTTTACTTTGTTAAAAAACAAAATAAAACAAACAAACAAAAAGCAGCATCTTTCACTCCTGTACTCATATGAGTTGATAGTAATTGTATTTACCTCATCCAACAGAGCTAATTTCAGGTCATTGTTTAATTTTTTATTTTGATTGAAAAACAGGCAAACAGCATGCACAATTAACCAAGAGCTGCTTCCAGTGCAACATTACTCTCTGATTAATGGTGAGAAGTAGCACGTAACAAACCTTACACTTTAAATGCAAATACTGGGCAACAACAGTATATAGCCATTGTTTTTCAATGACAATATGAATCACACCTGTAATAATTCCAGCAAGATCCATCAGAGAATGATGCCAAATTAACCACCAGCATCAGAGAGGCCAAGAAGAAAAACAGTTTGCACTGGAAATATTTTTATACATTGATAAACAGTTCATAAAAGCATGGTTTAACTGTTTCCTCAAGAATTAGTCAACAACTTTGTACTTCCATTTCATAGGCAACTGAAAGCCACCAGCAGTAGTACTACAACAGTGCAAGTGCTTGAGTGTTCTTCTACAAGGTCATGATTTCTTTTAAAAGGTTTGAAGGTCCAGAGTATGTAATTTATTTCATTCTCATTTTGTAGTAGTTTGAAAGACATAGCTTCATTGGCCCAAGTACAATGCTAAATGCTAAGAGGTTTCTGCCTCAGCACAGTACAAAGGCGAGCTGTGTTGCAGCATGGAGAAAAACCACCATCTAAGCCCACTCACTGAAGAAATGCAACACAACAAAATCAGTGCAGATTTTTGCTACTGTGAGAGTACCTTAATTTTACTTGACGAAAAATCCCAAAGCTCTGTAAATTATGTATTTTCACTCTTTGAGGAACAAAAGGGAGCAGAAAGAGAAATCCACAGTAACAGAATGAAGTGTTGCAGAGGCACTGTTGCACAGCTTAACATCATGTACCTACCTTTCTAGTTCCATATGATGCTTACAGACACACAGACCTCTAAGGATTTTAAAGTTTAGCTTAAAAAAAAATCCCAGCATGAAAGAAAATACAATTCAGAATTTGTCAAGGAGGGTACGTTCCATAATACTGAGATAAGAACTCTTATTCTATGCATTATACAGAACAAAAAGCTGCTACCTGTCATGGCAAGTTCAATTTTACTGTGATGCATTAATCACTGGCAATAGCCACAAATTTGAATGCAATGCATATGCAGCACTACAGCTTATGTCAATGTGAGTCACAGGCATCTCTTGTTTTGGGTGAACGTCTCATCAGAAGAAGTTCAGCACTTGTGCGTGGGCCAGCAGTCACCAGGTAGGTCACTCATTACATCCAAACAAGACTACAGAGAGTACGGACTCATGACTGACCTCTGCAGTAAGAAATTAAGAGATGCAGTGACAGGAAAGGTGACCTCAACCACCTGTACTCCATGGACATTGATTGAAGCAGTGACACAGAAACTCAATGACAAAGCACTAGAAGAAAATATATCATTTTCATTTTTGTTGCACAACATAGCGATGTCAAGAAATAGAACAGGATTAATCTCAGGTACTCCAGAAATCAGGGAAGGGTTAAAGTCTTTAAACTTCCATGAAGTAAAGTATCATCAAGTGTCTTCCTTCCCAGAATATATTAAGCAGGACAAATCCAGTTTAGTCTTTAACGCTGTTGAAAATTCTTTTGATAGCAGTTCATGAAGAGATACTCTGTCATGAGAATACACCCAGTTCCGCCCAGTCCAGTCGTAGCGCTTGGGCCCGCTAGAAGAGAAAACACACACTGTCAGCACAGGTTATTCACGGGGAGCTGCTGCAGGCCCCTGAGTGTGCCCAGGAAGAGGAACAGACAGTGTAGAGGAGGACTTCTGGGCAGTCTGGGAAAAGAGGAGCGAAAAGGGCCAGATCTGCCAGGAGCTGAAAGCTGCGGAACCACCCAACAGATACATCTGAAAGGTGACAGGACATACTGATTACTTCTGGGAGACACAAATGCCTTCCCTTCTTGCTTTTGGCACCAGCTTCTCCAATTCCTTCCCTCATCCAGTTCTTCCTTCACCCATAACATTTTCTTGCACCCAGAGACTACAAGAGATCTTTGTACCATGCTAAAGCAATGCTACAGATTAGTTCTTGCAGCAGTCACAGGCAGGTATTTTAAGCACAGCAGAACACAGATCACCGTTCTCCCTTTCTTCTTAGCTGTAACAAAATAATTTACCAGCTGAAAACGAGTATGTTGGCACATGGGAGATTTATATTTAAAATTCTATTTTCCTCTGTGCTATCATATAGTTGTTGGCTTGATTTTTTCAGGCCTACATTAAGTACCAAGAAAGCAATTAGAACACCTAAGTTCTATTCCAAATATTTCTATCCAGCCAGTTCTCCGCACTGAAACTGCAGAATGACTGAAAGGCACTCACTACTGTTAACATCAGCTAGAGAAACTAAGAAAAGAGAAAGGAATTAAATGGCCACCTGGGATAAACAGACAAACCATCCTTGAACTTGTAGGACAAAATGCCTTGGAACTCACAGTCCACACACAGGGCCTGCCAGAAAACGGACTATGCTATATATGTACGCAAGAAAAATCTGCGGGTTCTCTACAAACGTCAACACTACTCTAAACCTTGAGTATCCTGAATGGCTCAAAATACTCCCATGAAGAACGTTCCAACCACCAACCAAACTATGAGAAGTCACAAACACAAATTGAAGTAACTGCCAACGAAACCTCACTTGCTGTATGTGAACTACGGAGTACTGGGAACTGAGATTAGGTGCTTCTGTGACTTGAGCGTGCACTTCTCACTTCTTTGTCTCTGCAGCACAAGTTTGTGTTCATGCTGCCCTGTGCCCAGAGAACAGCAGAGTGGGACGCAGCCACCCATGGCAATCGGGCTTAGACAGGGCATTTAATCAACAATTACCATGAAATGTGTAAGTTACCTGAAATGTTTTTAACTGTCATGCAGTAGCTATCAGTGATGCAGTTAGTGTATGAAACACCTCCACAGCTCTCCGAATCTTCGAAATGTTGTACAAATCCTCTCTTTTTTTTTTTTATTTAAATCAATAATTTAAACAAGGATCTTGTGAATTCTATAAAATGCCCACAAAGTAAAATATTTCTCATGGGAAGTCTGCATACATTTTTAAACAGTAAGACAGTGGAGTTAAAATCTCACATTAAGGTATTATTAAGGGATGCTGTGTAAGGTTGAGAAATCGTTTCAGTCAGAGGAGCTACATAAAATTACTGCAGTGACACTGCTGGCAGGTTGCACCCACCTGATCACACCGCTTTTTTAAACTGTCAGCTCTGGAAAGCTTTGCAAAACACAAGCTAAAGCTCCCTTTGATACATGACAGCAAAGAGAAAGAGACATTTTTTAAAATTTTTTACCTTCTCACATCTTATGAATCTGTCTCCCTTGGGATATGCTCTTAAAGACTCAAGATTCTATGCTTACTGTGCAAATTTCCTAAATATTCAGTGCAAGTGATTACTGGCAGTAACATGTGCTTCTTTCAGTTCGTAGTATATTGCATTTAATAAGCCTGTCACTCCAAATCATACAGTATTTGATGGAGTTGCTGTTCAGAAGTTAGGAAGTAAGTGAACATTATATTTCAGGAAATACCACTGTTTACTGTAATGCAAATTAAGGAAGCACAAAACTTAATGTTTGTAGGAGAATAATTTTTCATCACAGGTGATGAAAAATACCGTTAGAGAAATTTCAAGTTTATCTCTTTCCTTGTGTATTTTCATTCACCACTGGATCAAATAAAACAAACAAACAAAAAAAAAAGGTTTAACAATTTTCCACAAATTTCCTATTCTGGAACATGGATGTCTTAGCTAAACAAGCGTTAGCTCCAACCAGACAGGAATTATCTGAATTTTGGCTTGCACAAACAGACAAAACCTTAGTGTCAGTGACACAAAAATCTTATAGTCACCTTAAACAGAATCAAGGTTCAGAAATTATGCTTGCTGCACAATATATGGAATGAATAAATTCTGACACACAGCCTGCATTTGACTAAACAAAAAGCTTTGTTAGCTTCCTAGTCCTGTGCCCTAGCAAGCCATGTACCTGTTAATCATTTAACTAATAAAACAATTCTGGGATAGGAGAGGAGCTACAAGGAAAAAATTACAAAGCTAGTACTTAGTGCACCAACCAGTACATTAGTTCACTAAAGCAAAGTTAGAATTTTATTTAGGTAGGTTTTATGCCTATTGTAATTGTTTCTCTTGAAATCTTAAATTCCATTGCGCTTTTTTTCCCCCCTGACACAAACCCTATTACAGAATTCTCCTACTGCAATACCATCCCCAATTTTGCAAGCTATATGTTCCTTCTTCTGCACAACACTGGAGAGGTACATGTGCACACTTGCTGGCAGCACTCAGATTTTCCAGCTAGCTGGCTCCTCCACCAGTAACACTGACCAACTTCCCCAGTTCTTTCCCTGGGATAGTCACAGAGAATAAAAATTTCTGGGGAAACAGCTACATTTTCAACATATTTGGCTGTCCTCCTTGCTGAAACCGACCAGAAAACCTGGAATGGATCAAACCACAGCATTAGAAAAGGCAGAGGGAAGGAACAGCTTGCCAAGGCTCCTGTAAAGTGTAGAGCCTTGACAAAAACAACCAGTGGGAGAGCACATAAACATATAAAGCAGAAAATCCCACAAGCTTAAAGGGGAAGGTGCCACCCTGTTTAAATACAAAGAGATGTTTACATCATAACATCATATTCACTCTTTTTCCGACAGAAGCTTTTGGTTTTGCTCTGTTTTTTCTTTGAATCACGGCTATTTTTCTACGAGTGGGCTGTATTTCTGTAGGCAGTGTTTTTGGACCGGAACAGGGTATGGAAATTCCATGTTACACATTTCCTCGATTAATCTGGGTATGTCAGCATATCGCATTGTGCCTCAAACCTCTATAACAAATTACCATCGAATATTTAGAGTACATCGTGTTCTGAGAACACAGGGAGTAAAGGAGCTGCAGGCGAGGCGGGGGTTATACCGTCCGTGCCGTGCCGTGCGGTGCCAGGAGGGAGTGCAGTCCCCTCTGCCTGCAGAGGTGACGCCCCCGCGGGCGCGGCGCACCTGGTGGGCGAGGACAGCCAAATCTGCCGGTTCGGCGTCTGCTTATTGATCACGTACGTCCCCAGGTCTCCACCCAGCTTCACTGTTAGGACTCCGCTCTGAAAACACAAAGAAAGCAAGCTAGAAATTAAAAATTTGCATCCTGTTACTTGACGAGAATTACATCACCTGCAGTAGATAAAGAGAAACTTACATTTATGTAACCCAACTATTCCCAACTATTCCCCAAGCAATAGTAGCTTACAAGAATCATCATCAGGTACCAAACACCTGTGTTAATCCTTAGGACAACCCTTGAGCCTGATCCTGACTTCAAACCTGGTGAGAGTCTGATGTAGTGTGATGCACCATTCAAAACAGCACTACTTAATGCTCTTGAGTTTTGATCCATCATCTTGAAATGACTGCTAGTTAATTTTGCAATGATTAAAACATCATCCAATAGCAACTTTTTCCACTAATGAACAATGTGGAACTTGTGTGGTTCAACGTCAAAGATCTTTCTGTGTCATTGCTAGATTCCTCAGCCACGCAGTTTTACCTAACTTTTCTTAAGTAACTGTAACAGTTTCCCAGTGAATAAACACAATTCTTTCTCCAATAATTCTGATGAAGTGAATCATACCTCAAAAATGTTCCACTTCTAGACTCCATGAGGTCTGGTTTGTTTTAGTTAAGCCAGCTTTAGACTGTTATCCTAGTGAGCATTTATTTTCTCTTTCTTACTCACATTTCTTAGGACAACATGTTTCACATTTCTCTGACATTTCAAAAGTGTATTTGAAAGGCATACGTAACTCTCACAAAGATATTTCTGTCCTAACTGCAAGGGTAAAAGAACAACACTACTTGGATTAGAGCTAACCTACAAATGATCTGAATGATGCTAATTAAAAAGGGTATCTCTGCAGAATACAGTCTGATGACTCAGGTAACAGGTTAGATGTATTTAATCTACAGTTTCTCAACTAATTCATGCTCTATAGTATCATAAACCTTCTTCAAGGCAATCACACTTTTCGTGCTTTAGTCAGAAGATACTACTAGAGCTATCACCATTGCTAGGGCTACTTGCTGTGTATAAACAGTGGGGAAAAATACTTTCATTTACGAGTAGCTACTGCCTGCAAACTTCATCTGTAGCACAGGCAGCATCTTAGAGCTTCCTTCCCCTACAAAGCAACGCAGTGTTACTGGTTTTTGACATTATCTCAAAGATCATCAGCCACAAAATAATACTCTCAAGGTCTGATTTTTTTACTTTCGTTTCCATGCTGTTTCTGCACTTGACAAGGGATTTGAATCTGTGATCAATAAAACAAAAATAAAAGGCTTCCCTGGTCAATATTGCCATAAAGTTGTCCAGCCAGTCACGTTAAATGCATAATGGTTTAGTGGAAAGAAGGGCAAGAACAAGCTGCTACTTTGGTTTCAGAATTGAAACTTTCCTGCACCTCAGCAGTCTAACATCTGTAGAGATAGAACAGACTAAGAACAGGTTGGGGGATTAGGCCTGAACAAAGGTTTCCCTATTCTTCTACGTGCTTTTTAGCGCCATATTAAGTATACAGCACAATGTTACACTACATGCTGCAGAAACACCGTTAAGTAAAAAGGTTTCCAAAGAGTTAACAAAAAATTTATACCACTGCTTACATTGTGTGTCAGCTCTTGGAGTGTGTTGTTGCTCTCTTGTTGCAAATTAAATAAAGATTAACTTCTAATATTGTGTTTAAAACACTTCCCCATACATTTTGCAATTCTCTTGAAATGCTAGAAGATATAACTTCAGTTTTCAAGAACTTAAATCGCAATATATTTTTACCATATTTTAAGGAATACTACTGTGCGTGGTTTGTACTCCTGGATGAATGTTTGTTAGCTCCTAGTAACAAGAACATCCTTCGAAAGAAGTATTTTTTCCCCTGGATAGGAAGATATGAATTAAGTTCATAACAATTCACAGGCATGACAGACCTTGACCACGTTCGCCACCTGGTGGCTGCTGTTGTTTGTTAGGAATTTGGTAAACTTGGGACTATTTAACCTTTCGCTCTTAAGAGAAATGACAACGTACTGTTATGTCATGATACAATCTATGCAACAAAGGAGTACTGGTCAAAATTGCTTTGTGTTTTTTTTTTTTTTATGTTTGTTTGCTTGTGTTTGGTTTTTAGTTAGTTTATGTTGTTGTTTTGCCTTTTTTGTGTGTGTGCGCGCGCGAGCGCATGTGTGTGGTTTTTTTTACACAGTGTAACCCAAATCATCGACTTCAATGTCCCTGAGCGTAGAACCTTAGCTGATGGGGCCAGTAGAAGGCAACCTCCTCCTGGTGATACAAAGACGGACCAGCAGTCGTGCAACCTCAAAGAAATGCAGCAGTGAAACACCCATGTTGCATCAACAGCATGGGGAGAAAATGCCCTCTCCTCCAAATTAAAAACGCCAACTACTTCAGGAGTTGTATGTAAAACTAACTCGCTACACAAACAGAATGGACATTTTTGATCTGAGTATCTCACTCCTGTAGAACAACTCGAGTGACTGACCTATTAAGGGCTCCAATTATCAGGCTAGTAGCCACCCAATATCTCCTGTGACAGCAGGCTTCTCCCCACGTAAGCTCTGATCTCACTTTTGCAACCACCTATCCAAACATCGCATCCTCTTGTTCCACCACAGGCCGCCATCAGTAGAGCCAGGACAAACCTCCTCCACCTGGTCAAGACACATGCTGCTTCTCAGTACTCCGGGCAATCAAAGTAACTGCTCTACCCGTTACGAGCGATGCCCATGTACTGTGCCACGTAGGCCTGTCCCAGCACTCACCAGGAGCAAAGTCACTGATGATGTCAGAGGCCTATGTGTGTTTACAAAAGTCTGCAGACCACTGTGAAATCAGAAACCAGTTTCTGTCTCTTCTGGTGCTCACTTATTATTCTCTGTTATGTCTTTCTCCATACACTAAGCATTTTAAATCCTCAAATTGCACAATAGCACATGTTGCTTTTTACCAGAATAGTTGCTCCAATCAGTATAAACAGGCATATTTTAACAATTAAGTTGTAAAAACTCACTGCATTTTAAGTGTTGGCAGTCAGGTGACTAGTTTAAAATTATCCTTCAAAGAAAATCTACAATAATCACAGCGGTAATAGGGTGTTTAAACATACCCCCAAAGAGACATCGTAATCTTCTGGGGTAAAAGGTTTATCTGTCAGGTCCTCAAAGAAATCTGCTAAGGAGTCCAGCGTTTCTTCAGCCAGTTTTTCGTAAGTAGTCTCATCTAAAGAACTATAAATGACACGTAAGCCCAGAATTAGGAGGGAAAATACAGGAGACAGC